TTCCTACTGTGTTGCATAAAATATTAAACGAATTTTGTGTCTTAAGATAATTCATATAAATTCAAGTCAAAGTCAATAAATTCAAGACTCTTGACAAGACGAATAAAATAACACAATTTTGTGCAGACTACACTTTTATTTGTCAGCCTATCTCTCTTTCTTTCAGTAGCGGAAATTTAAATGTGAGATTCTGGAAACGAGATCTGAATTTAGCGGGAACGGTCGGGTCGGGAAGAAAATAATTCTAAGCGGACAGCAGGTGAACAAAGAGTGAATATATAGCGGGAGCGGGTGGGTGCGGAATAGAACCTTGCGGGAGCGGGACTAAAAAAACAGTCCCGCGCAGACCTCTAACTGAGATGGCGCTCATTCACACAGAAACACGCAAAACTTGCAGACTTCAAAATTAAATATGGCATTAATATTCACAGGCACTTGCCCATATCTCAACTTCATTAAGTGTACAGCCCTACTTTTGATTAATTCGTCCAACATTTGCCAGATTCAGTGACATTCCGTATAATAATGTAAATGACATTTTATGACTGGATGCCCCACTTCCATTCCGTATTTCAGTAGCGGAAATTTAAATGTGAGATTCTGGAAACGAGATCTGAATTTAGCGGGAACGGTCGGGTCGGGAAGAAAATAATTCTAAGCGGACAGCAGGTGAACAAAGAGTGAATATATAGCGGGAGCGGGTGGGTGCGGAATAGAACCTTGCGGGAGCGGGACTAAAAAAACAGTCCCGCGCAGACCTCTAACTGAGATGGCGCTCATTCACACAGAAACACGCAAAACTTGCAGACTTCAAAATTAAATATGGCATTAATATTCACAGGCACTTGCCCATATCTCAACTTCATTAAGTGTACAGCCCTACTTTTGATTAATTCGTCCAACATTTGCCAGATTCAGTGACATTCCGTATAATACAGAGCTTGTAACACTCCAAAGAGAAAGGAAAAATTGAAATCGCATCATATGACCCCTTTAATATTAACCTCAAAGACATCTGCTTTTGATTTATGCCGTTTTTTGCATTTGTGTAAAGCTTTGGTCATGACTTCTTGTGTTTCTGCAGGTGTTGTTCCCAAACATGACCCGTAGTAGCATGCAGGCGGTGCTGGAGTATCTCTACACGGGATGCTTCTGCTCCAGACCTGACCTGGACGCCATGGAGCTCATTATCCTGGCTAATCGCCTCTGCCTGCCTCACCTGGTCGCCCTCACAGGTCTGATGATTGAATATCATGTCAATAATGAATATAAAAACTAACAAGGATTACTTTATAACTGCTTTTCACAATAAAAAAGTTTTTAACCAAGTTTTCTGGGGTTTTATGTTGATTATATATTTGGGGTCGGTAAGATTTTTTAGTAGTCTCTTATGCTTTTCAAGGCTGCATTTATTTGATTAAAAATACTGTAAAATAGTAATATTGTGAAATAATATTACAACTTAAAATAATTGCATTCTATTTGAATAAAAAAAAAAAAAATTAATTCATTCCTGTGATCAAAGCTGAATTTTCAGGATCATTACTCCAGTCTTCAGTGTCACGTGATCCTTCAGAAATCATTCTAATATGCTGATTTGCTGCTACCAGCATTGAAAAAGTTGAACTGCTTAATATTTTTGTGGAAACAATGTTTTTTTCAGGATTCTTTGAATATAAAATTCAAGAGAACAGCATTTATTCAAAATATAAATATTTTGTAATAATTTTGGTCATTTTAATGTATCCTTGTTGAAAAAAAAATATAATTTTTTTAATTTAAAAAAATAATGTATTTTCTTTTTTTAAGAAATTTAAAAAATATGTAAACGGTAGTGTAAATATTCAGATTTTTAAAACAGTCTTCAGTGTCACGTGATCCTTCAGAAATCATTCTAATATGCTGATTTGCTGCTACCAGCATTGAAAAAGTTGAACTGCTTAATATTTTTGTGGAAACAATGTTTTTTTCAGGATTCTTTGAATATAAAATTCAAGAGAACAGCATTTATTCAAAATATAAATATTTTGTAATAATTTTGGTCATTTTAATGTATCCTTGTTGAAAAAAAATAGAATTTTTTAAATTAAAAAAAATAATGTATTTTCTTTTTTTAAGAAATTTAAAAAATATGTAAACGGTAGTGTAAATATTCAGATTTTTAAAAAAATACTGGATATGCGGTCACCCCTTTAAATCGAAGTAATAATGATCACCATTCAATTTCATTGAAAAAGCAGCATGAATATTGTGCTAAACCTCTCCTTTGAGAGGTTTATTCATGAGGGTGAATATATGATTACAGAATATACATTTTTGGGTGAACTAACCATTTAATTGTGTTTTGCTGCAGAACTGCATACTGTGACTGTTCTGAAGGAGGCTGCCGACATGGGCACGGACATCGACGGAGATGTGCTGGTTTATCTGGAGATGGCTCAGGTAAAACTACAAGTGAAAACCCTCACAAACTCCTTCAGCAGTCACCATATATGATTATGTATATATGACACCTAAGTTGAAGTGCATAGGTTTTTTAATAAAGTTTTCAAGTTATCATTTCCTGTATTGATTAACAATGTTGTGCAGAGTTAAAGGGTTAGTTCACCCAAAAATGAAAATACTGTCATTAATTACTCACCCTCGTGTTGTTCCAAACCCGTAAGACCTTCGTTCATCTTCGGAACACAATTTAAGATATTTTTGATGGAATCTGAGTGCGTTCACGACAGTACCATGACGCGAGCGAGCCATAACCTAGTATGAGAGCCTGTTCTAGTACACCCCCAAAACAAAATCAAGACTTTGTAAAAGAGCATAATAGGACCCCTTTAACAATCACAGGCATTTGAGATTTGTTGAGTTCACTAAATAAGAACCTGCATGAGGAAATGCTCTGGGATTTGGTGTGAAGCCAGACATATTTTTGCGGCATTCCTGTGACGGTTCACGTGGTTCTTTCTGTCATGCATGACTGGTCAAGCTGAGTCACTTGCTTTACTAAAGTCTCTCAGGAACGCTGAGCATTTCATGTCTAAGGAGCTCTCTGCCATAAAGTGTGATTCTGTAGACGACTCTGCTGATGTAATAATGAAACTAAATGGTATGATTTATGTAACGCATTCAGCAGAGCTTGATTGCCATGGTTGAACCGGTATAGACTGACTGTGGAGAATGAGCTAACTCACACTAATGTCATTACAAACCATTCAGTGGAACACAAACTCTGAGATATTTAGCATATTGGGCACTTGTTCAATGACCAGGGCATGAAGAAACAAAATGAAAAGTTAGGTTATATTGAAATTTAATTTGTGCATCGTGGCTCAATTTTGGTTACAAGACACAAGAAAACCAGGAACTTTGATGTTTCTATTACCATTCGAAAGATTGAAGTCAGTCATAGAAATTGTTAATTTTATTCAGCAAGGATGCATTAAATTGATCAAAAGTTGACAGTAAAGACATTTGTTACAAAAGATTTTAATTTGAAATAAATGCTGTTCTTCAAAAAATCTTGAAGAAAAAAATGTATCACGGTTTCCACAAATATATGAAGCAGCCCAATTGTTCTCAACATTGATAATAATAATAAATGTTTCTTCAGCAGTAAATCAGCATATTAGAATGATTTCTGAAGAATCATGTGACACTGAAGACTGGAGTAATGATGCTGAAAATACAGCTTTTCATCGCAGGAATAAACTACATAAAAAAATATATTTAAATCCAAAACCGTTCAAGTTGTAATAATATTTCACAAAATCACTGTTTTACTGTATTTTAGCAGCCTTGGTGAGCATAAGAGACTTCTTTCAAAAACGTTTATAAATCTTACTGACCCCAAACTTTTGAATGATAGTTTAAGTCTATATGCTTTTGATACAACAGGAGGGCGAGTAAATTATGATATTTTTTGTTGTCATGTGGTTTCAGTTCCACTGTGCCTACCAGCTCACCGATTGGTGCCTTCACCACATCTGCACCAACTACAACAACGTGTGCCGCAAATTCCCCCGAGACATGAGGGCCAAATCAGCAGGTAGTACATCAAACGTTTGTCTTTCATTTCTTTTATATTTTTTGTATTTTAGTGGTATTGAGATGTAGTTATTGAGTTGTTATTAATATTCTTATGTTTTTCTTTTTTTATTAATATTCTTGTTTTTTTGTCATATTATTAATTTGTTTTTCAAAATGTCCATAATTGTCAAGCTTGTTTCTGCCCAAAAAAAAAAAAAAAATGTGATTATGACTGCAATTGCAAGTTTATATCTCTCAATTTTGAGAAAAGGGGTCAGAATTGCGGGATTTAAGCTCACAATTGTAAGAAAATCAGAATTGTATGGAAGCCCGTTTCCGCCACTGAATAAAAAATAAAACAAGGTAATTGCGACTTTTTATCTAACAATTGACTTTTTTTCTCAGAATTACAAGATATAAACTCGCAATTCTGAGAAAAAAAGTCAGAATTGCGAGTTCAAATCATGTAATTCTGACTTTATAACACACAAGTCCGTTTCCGCCACTGAATAAAAAATAAAACAAGGTAATTGCGACTTTTTATCTCACAATTGACTTTTTTTCTCAGAATTACAAGATATAAACTCGCAATTCTGAGAAGACTCTGACTATATAACTCGCAATTGAGAAAAAAAGTCCGAATTGTGAGATAAAAAGTCGCAATTACCTTGTTTTATTTTTTATTTAGTGGCGGAAACTGGCTTCCATAGAATTGTGAGATATAAACTTGCAAGAGAAAAAGTTTGACTCGCAATTCTGACTTTATTTCTCAGAGTTGCGAGTTATTAATTAAATTACATTAATTTTAAATTAGTTATTTAAATTGAAAGTAAATTCATTTTTATTTATTTAAATTTTATTTATTTTAGTACATCATGTTAAACTAGATTAAAATTTTGCTTTGGCAACTAGCTGAAATCTAATAAGTATGTCATTATGTAAAGTTGTATATTAGTCTGTCGTAGTACTTGTAGCCTATAGTCTGTCTTAGATTGTGTATGTATAGTCAATTATATATAATATACTATAATTAGATTACTGCTTTCAGTAAGTTAGCTATGTATAGGTTTAAAAAATTGTTTCTTAAATCTAGTGTTGTATGTTTATATTTATGTTTAACTATGTATCACCATGGTCCTGCCAGCACGGCATTTCGTTCCACTGTGTGTCCACACATTTAGCAGAATGACAATAAAGCTTGACTTGATGTTTTTCAAATATTTGTATATTATTGTATATATTTTATTTCAAGCAGGAAAAATGTTTTTTTTTTACTGTTAATGTTTATTACAATAACCCCATTGGATGCATGTTCATTTGCATTTTCAGAGAACCAAGAATACTTTGAGAAGCACCGCTGGCCTCCAGTCTGGTACCTGAAGGAGGACGACCACTACCAGAGAGCTCGGAAAGAGCGAGAAAAGGAGGACTACCTGTCCCAAAAACGCCAAAACAAGCGTAAATGGATGCTGTGGAATCTTCCGCCCTCTCCTTCAAACCCCTCTTCATCTTCCTCATCCTCCTCTTCCTCAGGCTCCTCTGCTATTATTTGAAGAGACGAGGGTGAAGCCTTATCGATGGAGCAGCCGTGAGGTGCAGTGAACAGATCCTCCAATCTTTCTGCTTTTTCCACAGCTGATTTCAGACCAGCATCTCATCAGTCGTGCGCTGAAGTTCTTGGTGCTTGAAGTCCTGCACTTGGAAGTGTACAGGCATCACACAGACACAGCCGCCAAACAAGTCTAGATGTACAATGTTTACCAAATGTGACTACAGTCGTTCTGCTTTTAAGCTAAACGGGTAAGCATTTCATCTCAAAGCAATGAAGAAACTTTGCCGTGTTTTAGTGGTCCTCAGCTGATTTTACTTTGGACATCAAATGGTGAGTCAAAAATTGTTTATCATAAAAAACCTATTAAATGTATTGCTGTTGTAGTAGTATATTATTTATATACTATTATAGTATTTATTAACATTTTGAATAAATCTTTATATTTTCTGTTACTAATTTAATTTTAGTACATTTATGCTATTGTCATTTTTGACAAAATATTAATATTGAACATTTTGATATTTTATTTTTGAGATTTAATTTCTTTTTAGCTTCAATTTTATTTTTTAGTTTGGTTATAGTAATTTAGTACTACAATTTCAAACTTATTTCAGTTTATTTGTCAAGGCAATGTTTCTAATTTTTCATTTTTTATTTGATATTTATATTTTATTTTATTGCAACTTCATTTCAGTTACCAAAAACCATTTTTAATAGTTTTAGTTAACAATAACAAAACTGGTTTGGACACAAATTTGACATCAATATCAAAAGAGATTTCTAATATATTTAAAATATTAATAATTCAGATATTTTGCTATGCTGAATGTTTAGTAAGTTGTTTTTTTCCCTGATCCACTAATTAAGAACTACTGATCTAAAACCATTTAGCCTCAACGCAGAACTGTGGGAAAACAGAACAGTCACCCAAAGAACAAAACTAAACCTGTTTGTACAGATCGCAGTGCATTTTTAGCCAATAATATTTTAGATTTTTAGCATTGTACCTACAATGGCTCTTTGTGATTCATCGCCTGAATCATTCATACATATATATATATATATATATATATATTCTCTTGATTATAACAGGCGATCACTAGACTCTAGTGCTGAAATTATATATGGGAAAATGTGAGTTTGCCACATAATTGTGCCTAGTCATGTTATTCAGAGACGTCATATCATGTGAGATTCTGCTGGCAGAGTCTTTCAGTGTCAAATCCTCACTAGATGGTCATCGAGCTTATATTTTTCACTACAGCGTAGTTTGCATATAGAATCAAGTGGCTAAACGTTTACACATTTAGTAAAGGCAGAACCTTTCTTGAATTCCATGCAAATAAAGGGACAGTTCACGCAAAAGTGAACATTTTGTCATTTATTTCCTCACCCTCATGTCCCTCTAGACCTGTATGACTTTTTCTTCTGTGGAGGATATTCAAAAACACACCTTTTCTTCTCCACAGAAGAGAGAAAGGTCACAGGTTTGGAATGACATGGAGGCGAGTGAATGTTTTTCATTTTAAATGTCTGTTTTGTGTGAGGATCTGGATCTTGTGCTAATTCAGTACTGCTCCATGTGTCTTTACTGTCATTAACTCTTGATAGCCTACTGAATATGTCATATCACACAATCAGCTGGGGTTCTGTCCAACAAAACTGTAATGAAAGGAAATGCATATCCATATTTAAATGTAATTATAATAGCAAAAATGATTTGTTTTGCTTAATACATTTTTGATTTAAATCTGTTTCTGCTTTGGTTTTTATACACCTTGCAGTGCTCCATTTTGCCACAAGTGTGTGTATGTATGTATATACAGTGGGTACGGAAAGTATTCAGA